ATGCTAATGCTAATGCTGATGCCAATGCGAACGCTAATGCGAATGAGAATGGTGATGCCAATGCTAATGCCAATGCTAATGGCCATGCCAATGCCAACGCTAGTGCAAATGCCAATGCGAGTGTTAATGACAATGCCAATGCCAATGCTAATGTTGATGCTCATGCTAATGCTAATGCCAGTGCTAATGCTAATGCCAATTCTAATGCTAATGCCAATGTCAATGCTAATGATAATGGCAATGCTAATGATAATGCCAACGATAATGCCAATGCTAATGCTAATGGCAATGCTAATGCTCATGCTAATGCTAACGCCAATGCTACTAACACTGCCAATGCCAATGCTAATGCTGATGCTAATGCTGATGCTAATGGCAATGCCACTGCCAATGCGACTGATAATGCTAATGCTATTGCGACTGCTAATGCGAATGCTAATGCGAGTGAGAATGTTAACGCGAATGCTAATGCTAATGCCAATGCCAATGCTAATGCTGATGATAATTCTATTGCTCGTGATAATGCGAATGCGAATGCGAACGCGAACGCTAATGCTAATGCTGATGATAATGCCAATGCTAGTGATAATGTCAATGATAATGCCAATACGGATGGTAATGCCAATGCTAATGCTAATGCCAATGCTACTGCCAATGCCAATGCTAATGCTGATGCTAATGCGGATGCTAATGATAATGCCGATGCTACTGTAAATGCCACTGATAATACTAGTGCTACGGCGACTGCTAATGCTAATGCTAATGCGAGTGAGAATGCTAACGCGAATGCTAATGCGAATGCGAATACCAATGCTAATGCTGATGATAATGCCATTGCTCGTGCTAATGCGAATGCGAACGCTAACGCTAATGCTAATGATAAGGTCGCCCCACCTCAATACCTACCTTTTGGTGGGTTCTGATCATACATGTTCTCCCGTCCCCCCACATCTCTTCACCCCCCATCCACTTTCTTCGTTCTCTCTCTCTCTCTATATTTATATATATATATATCCTCCTCCTCCTCCTCCTCCTCCTCCTCCTCCTCTTCCTCCTCCTCCTCCTCCTCCTCCTCCTCCTCCTCCTCCTCCTCAAAGGGATTCGATTGGAAAGCCTCACAAAAGGAATCCGTTGGAAAGCATCACAAAGGGATCCACTGGAAAGCCTCACAAAAGGAATCCTTTGGAAAGCGCAACAAAGGGATTCTATTGGAAAGCCTCACAGCAGGAATCCTTTGGAAAGCACCACAAAAGGATTCTATTGGAAAGCCTCACAAAAGGAACCATTTGGAAAGCACACAAAAGGATTCTATTGGAAAGCCGCACAAAAGGAATCCTTTGGAAAGCATCACAAAGGAATTCTATTGGAAAGCCTCACAAAAAAAGAATCATTTGGAAATCACCACAGATGGATTCTATTGGAAAGCCGCGCAAAGTAATTCTATTGGAAAACATCACAAAAGGAATCCTTTGGGAAGCGCCACGAATGTATTCTATTGGAAAGCCGCACAAAAGGAATCCTCCGGAAGCATCACACAGGAATTCGATTGGAAAGCCTCACAAAAAGGAATCCTTTGGAAAGCACCACAAAGGGTTTCTATCGGAAAGCCGCACAAAGGAATTCTATTGGAAAGCCTCACACAAATAATCCTTTGGAAAGCACCACAAACGGATTCTATTGGAAAGCCGCGCAAAGTAATTATATTGGAAAGCGTCACAAAAGGAATCCTTTCGGAAGGGCCACACATGGATTCTATTGGAAAGCCGCACATAAGGAATCCTTCGGAAAGCATTACACAGGAATTTGATTGGAAAGCCTCACAAAAGGAATCCTTTGGAAAGCACCACACATGGATTCTATTGAAAGCCGCACAGAAGGAATCCTTTGGAAAGCATCACAAAGGAATTCTATTGGAAAGCCTCACAAAAGGAATCTTTTGGAACGCACCACAAAGGGATTATATTGGAACGCGCCGTTGTGCGGCCTGAACTACAGGCGGCGGCCCCTTCGGTGGAGGATGAGGCCTGGCGCAGGTTCACAAAGGGAGAGGCGGTGGCCGCTCTCAGACAAAGCCCGCCTGTCTCCGCCAACTCCTCTATCGCGCCAAAAAACGCCCAAGAGCACTACCCAGGGGAGTCCGTCGGCGAGCTGGAGAACCAGGGGAACGCGGAGGAGTGGAAATGAGGGGGACGACAACCATGAGGAAAGACTCGGGTCCAGAAGAGCGGCCAGCACGTTCGGGCAAAAGTGCCATTCGGAACGGTGGGCGCAAAGGGCCGATCGTAAAGTGATGCCCGCGCTGCAGCGGCAGCACCGCTTCGAAGGACCGAAGAGGAGCGGATTGTAAAACAACCGTGCTGGAAAGACCACTCGGGGGAACTCTCGTTTGAAACATTAGCCTGGCCAACGACCCAACCAGATGCAGTTGTGAATACCGCAGTTGTAGGTCGCGTCTGCGGTGGAAGCCCCCTTTATAAGGCCACGAAACGCTGCAGCGGGCGTTGGAGACGCATGTGGACTGCGCCACTGGGGCCGTCGGTGGAGCTCCCTATGGGGCCACGGAACGCTACACTGGGTGGTGGAGACGCACGCGGTCTGCGCAATTGGGACCGTCCGTGGAGCTCCCTATGGGGCCACGAAGCGTTGTACTGTGCGGGGGAGACGCATGCGGGCTGCGCAACTGGGACCTTAGGTGGAGCTCCCAATGAGGCCACGAAGCGCTCTGCTGGGTGGGGGCGCGCATGCGGGCTGCGTCCCTTGTGCCGTCGGTGGAGCTCCCTACGGAGCCACGAAGCGATGTGCTGCGCGGGGGAGACGCATGCGAACTGCGCCACTGGGACCTTCGGTGTGGCTCCCCTATGGGGCCACGAAGCGCTGTACTGGGCGGGTCAGACGCATGCGAATTGCGCCGCCGGGACTTTTGGTGGAGCTCCCAATGGGGCCACACCACCTTGTACTGGATGGGGGAGAAACATGCGGGCTGCGCCACTGGGTCCGTCGGTGGAGCTCGAGACGCACGCGAACTGCGCCACTGCGACCTTCAGTAGGGGTCTGTATAAGGCCGCGAAGCGTTGTACTAGGTGGGGGAGAAGCATGCGGGCTGCGCCACTTGGGCCGTCGGTGGAGCTCCCTATGGGGCCACGAAGCGCTGTACTGGGCGGGGGAACCGCATGCGAGCTGCGCCACTGGGACCTTCGGTGGAGCCCCGTATGGGGCCACGAGGCGTTGTACTGGGCTGGGGAGAAGCATGCTGGCTGCGACACAGGGGCCTTCGGTGGAGCTCCCTCGGGGCCACGAAACGCTGTACTGGGTTGGGGGGACGCATGCGGGCTGCGCAAGTGGGACCTTCGGTGGAGCTCCCTATGGGGCCACGCAACGTGTGAGGGGTGTGCCAAAACGAGGGGGGTGACGGGAGGAAGAGGAGGAGGAGGAGGAGGAGGAGGAGGAGGAAGGAGGAGGAGGAGGAGGAGGAGGAGGAGGAGGAAGAGGAGGAGGAGGAGGAGGAGGAGGAATAATACACATAATACTAAGCATACCATTAATCATAAGAAGAAGACGAATAATACTATTAACGATGATAGTAATAGTAGTACTACTACTAATAATACGAATCAAACGTCAATCATACTACTAAGCACAATAAGCATACTACTAATAACATGAAGAAAACCATGCGAAACAAGAATAATAAGACAGGAAAGAAGAATAATAAGAGGAGGAGGAGGAGGAGGAGGAGGAGGAGGAGGCGAGGAGGAGGAGGAGGAGGAGGGGGAGGGGGGAGGGGAGGGGAGGAGGGAGGAGGAGTGGGAGGGGAAGGCGGAAGGAGGAGGAGGAGAGGAGGAAGGAGGGGAGGAGGAGGAGGAGGAGGAGCAGGAGGAGAGGAGGAGAAGGAGGACGCAGTAGGAGGAGGAGGAGCAGGAGGAACAGGAGGAGGAGGAGGGAGTGAGAGGAGGAGGAGAAGAAAAAGAAGAGGAGGAGGAGGAGGAGGAGGAGGAGGAGAGGAGGCGGAGGAGGAGGCAAGGGGGGGAGGGGGAGGGGAGGGGGAGGAGGAGGAGGAGGATGAGGGGGAAGTGGGAGTGGAGGAGGAGGAGGAGGAGGAGAGGAGGAGGAGGAGGAGGAGGAGGAGGAGGAGGAGGAGGAGGGGAGTGAGGAGGAGTAGGAGGAGGAGGAGGGGGAGGGGAGAGGGGGAGGGGGAGGGGAGGGGGAGGGGACGGGGGAAGGGCGAGGAGGGGGAGGAGGCGGAGGAGGAGGAGGAGGAGGAGGAGGAGGAGGAGGAGGAGGAGGAGGAGGAGGAGGAGGAGGAGGAGAGGAGGAGGAGGGGGAGGGGGAGGGGGCAGGGGGAGGGCAGGGGGAGGGGCAAGGGGAGGGGGAGGGGGAGTGGATGAATAAGGAGAGGAGAGGGGAGGAGAGGAGAGGAATCCGTGGCGCTATCTCTTCAAAACGAGCACCCAACACCGCAGGATGGTTGGGAACAACATCAATCTGCCTATAGCCAGGCGGGCCACGCCCCAACTGGCCAAGCTTTGGGGAGATAATGAAAAGCAGCACGGAGCAATTCCGTAGAGGGACGAGGAGGAGGAGGAGGGGAGGAGGGGAGGAGGAGGAGGAGGAAGAGGAAGGAGGATTGTGGAGGATAGAGAAGAGGATAGGGGACGGAGGGCAGGAGGAGGAGGAGGAGGAGGGGAGGGAGGAAACATAACAGGAACAGGAGCAGGAACAGGAACGGGAACAGGAGGAGGAGGAGGAGGAGGAGGAGGAGGTGGAGGAGGGGGAGGAGAAGGAGGAGGAGGAGGAGGAGAAGGAGGAGGAGGAGGAGGAGGAGGGAGAGTTGGGGGATACAGACAGGGAAGGATAGGGAGGAACATGGAGAGGAAGCGAGGAACAGCAACAGCCCAAACAAACTCGTTGCCCGAATGGCACCGCGGCGGCCCGGAAGGCCCCCTCCTCTCTCGAACGCTCCTCCGCCCACCCCTGCCACCGCGCGGCGCGCGGCTTCGGAGGCAGATGGAGTACCAGCAGAAGATGCGCGACGACCTGGACCGGCAGCTCCGCCAGGACGCCTGGTCCCGAAGAAGAAAAACCAGCATAAACATAAATGTTCGGCGCTCCGCGCGGATTTCTTGTATCCGCGCTGGGCCCCCGCGGCGGCGCCTCCAGCGCCGCCCTTGGCGCGCTCCGCGCGCCGGGGAGGGGGGTCCAGGCCAGATCCAAGGAATCTGCGCGTAGCGCCAAAAGTTTATGTTTATGCAGTTTGTTTTTCTTTTATGGTCGTGGCTCAAGAGACGGGGTCGTGCAGAATCCTGTAGAGTCAGGGGTGGACTGACCCAGGCTTGGGCGCAGAATCCTGCAGCATCCTGAAGGATTTCGCAGGATCTTGCAGGGTCTGACTGACCCGGGTCAGTAGATACCCGACCTGTGCCACGTGCAGAGGACGGCACGATGTTCGCGATTTTCTGCCTCTGGGGGCCCTCGCCAGGCTTCGGGACTGTCAGAAAACGATTCAGGATGAAAAGCTGTTCCCACGGAGTGGGTCGAGATCGTATGCAGAAGTCATGACGACGGGAGAGGGGGGAAGGTTTCTTAGAAGGCGCCAGCCCTGTCTACAGATGTTAGGCCAGCCCCTTCTAAGAAGCAGCCTCCTCTTAAGAAGCCTTCTCCCCCCCCTCCCCCCTTGTGCGCGCCGCCGAGAAGGGGCGCAGTCCAGAGGCCGGGGGGCCTAGAACCAGCAGTGGATACCAGCCTGGAACAAGACCCTCTACCTATGACTGGCATCGCCTCCTCTCGACGCCAGGCTTAAAAATCACCTCAGTCTCCGAGGGCGCATCCGTTCCCAGACCCCCGACGTCATGATTTTTTCGTGACGTCGACCCCCAGTGGTCTGGACCTCTTCCCCGGGACCGGCTTTTCGTCCCGGGTCGTTTTGTTGACGGTCCCGAGGCCCGGCGAGGCCCCCCAGAGGCAGAATATTTGGACAAACCTCCCGTCGTGATGTGTTCATGACTCGAGTGGGGCCTGGGACCCCATCCTCCTGCGTCATTCTGCGGCCCGGGTCGAGCTGCGAAGGAGGAGGAGGAGGAGAAGGGGGAGGGGGAGGAGGAAAATGAGGAAAAGGAGGGGGAGGGGGATGATGCTGATGATGATGATGATGATGATGATGATGATGATGATGATGATGATGATGATGATGACGACGATGACGATGACGATGACGATGACGATGCTGGTACTGATGCTGATGACGATGCTGATGATGATGCTGATGATGAAGATCATGATGATCATGATGATCATGATGTTGATGCTGATGATGAGGAAGCTGCTGATGATGATGGTGCTGATGATCATGATCATGAGGATGCTGATGCTGATGATGCTGATGTTGATGCTGATGCTGATGATGATGATGATGATGATGATGATGATGATGATGATGATGATGATGATGATGATGATGATGATAATGATGATGACGACGAGGACGAGGACGAGGACGATGAGGATGTGGAGGAGGGGGAGAGGAGGAAAGGGGAGAGGAGGGGAGAGAGGAGGAGGAGGAGAGGAGGAGGAGGAGGAGGAGGAGGAGGAGGAGTAGGGAGGAGGAGGAGGAGGAGGAGGAGGAGGAGGAGGAGGAGGAGGAGGAGGAGGAGGAGGAGGAGGAGGAGGAGGAGGGGGGGGGAGGAGGGACGAGGCCTGGCGCAGCCGTCCGTCGAAACGAACAGCTGGCGGGACGGCCGAGGCGGCCGCGTCCTCAGCGGAAGACGAACAAGGCGCCCACCTCCAGCGCCCGCGTGGGCCCCCCCCCAGGAGGGGCCAGACGGGCCAGACGCTCCCGCTCTCCCCACCGGGAGCCACGCGGGCAAGAAAGAAGCCGTAGTCCTCAAGGATGGCGTAGGACACGACGAAAAAAGAAACAGAAACGTCACAGATCAAGCACCTGAAGACGTCGCAGTGCCCCAGGCCGCCAATGAGCACGGCGGAGGGCGCGCCCCACGCGCGGCAGCACACCGCCGCCTTGCGGCGGGACGCTCGATGTGGAAGCAGCCGCCGCCGACAAACACTTGACAGCACTGCGAAAGCCCTGCAGCTGCGGCCCCTGCCCACGTAGTAGGCAGGCCTCCGCCCAGCTGGCGGCACGCTCTCCCAGCTGCGCCACCTGCCCACGACACAAGGTAGACAGGCCTCCGCCCAGCACGGGCACTCCCGCCCAGCGATCGCCAGCGGGCCGAAGAAAACCGAAGTCCGTAACCAAGACCTCGGCGATGCACGGAATCACGGCCCCAGCCTGAAACCAACCGTCATTCACACATTCAATAACACAGAAATGCGTCAATCAGATCGACGAATTCGACATGGCTGCGTTGCTTGCTCCACCACCAGCAAGCACAGCCGAAAGGGCGAGCGACACGTTGTCCTTTGGGTGAAGCCCCTTTCAGCAATCCACGGCGTCGTGCTTCAATATGGGACAGGCAAGTTTTGCCCTTCCCTTCTCCACTCGGTACACCGCCGCACTCTGACATGAACTGTTCGGACACCCCTCCAGCAGACCTGGCCACGCATACTTCACAAAAGACCGCCGGTCCTGCACGCCGGAGGTGGTGTCCATTGCAAATGATAACATTAGCTCCTGCCCACTCGGAGACCAATACATATATATATATATATATATATATATATATCGCCAGCGTGCCCAGGGTCTTCGAGGGTCGGCGCCGCATCCAGCGCATCACAGGCCACGCCGCATCCGGCCCCAACCAGAGTTTCAGCACGCAGCGCGTCCAGCAGGTTATGCTGGCACGCCGGCCTGAGAAACATATTTCAAGCAGCCCTGGAACTCCCTGTCGCCCTCCTCGCGCACCGTCGGCACACGAAGGAACCATCATACAACTTCGCCACGACATGCGAGGTCATCTGCAAAGGCATGAGACGGACACCGACAGGCCTGGGAACTACCTCTTGACGAACAGGTTGCCATCCTCCCGCCTTCAGCGACCGCTGCATAGCCCACCCGATGTAGGCGGCCACCTGCTTGGTAAACCGCATCTCGACAGTGCGAACCAGTCTGCCCACATGTTGCCCAGGTAGAGCAGCGGGCTCATCGACCGATCCAGGTATTCGTCGATGCTCTTGTGCGCTGGGATCCAGATGACCTGCGGTCTGGACTCCTGCGCTCGTAGACGTCTCCATGCTGCGGCGTGCACAGCCGCAGCTGCTTACAGCTCTGGCCCCCAGGAAGCCGCCTCCGCCTCGGGGGCCAGCAAGTCAGCGAACACGAATTCCAAGTTCGGCCCGAACAGCGTCGCGGCCATCAGCAGCGCGCGCCTCTCGGCTCTTCCAACAGTTTGCAGCGGCCCAGGTAACGACCCGAACGCTGCCCCCATCGGAATGCCCTGCCACGCAAGCTGCACCGCGGCCCAGCCGCATCTCCTGAGCTCAGGGGTGGGTGGGGCTAGGCCTGAGCCGCCCGTGAAGACAGCATTCCCAAAGAGCTCCTTGGGAGTGGACCAGACGCCCCAGTAGTGCACGAGGAGGCCGAACTTGACCTTGGGGATTGTAGGCGGCATGCAAGGCAAGCGGACTCTTAGCTCGAAGGTGACCTTGGACTCGCCCGTGATCTGCTGCATGCCCTTGTTCCCCATGTGCGCGTATATGCCCGCGTATCTTTCAGGGAGGATGTTCCTTGCCTCCTCTGCGTTGTCCAATGGCTCAAACAGCGCTTCGCATCCAAGGGAAGCCGTGCCCAGCGGCATCGCTCTCCTGACCGCAGGCGAGACGCCTAGGCGATGAGACAAGGTTGAAAGCGAACCTGGCCCGTCGCGCCCAGGCGACGCCTGACCGGTGAGCCCGCAGGCTGGCGGCCTGCAGGCCTTCCTTGGCAGCCGCCTCAGCCGCGCCCAGACACTGCCACAGGGCGCGCACCCACAGCTGCGCTTGGTCACCGAGTGGGTGCTGAAACCTGGACATAATTCGCATGCCCTGCCATCTCTCGATTGACTCGACCAGGTGCTCGCGTAAATTCTTCGGCGAGACAGCCAACATGTTCCACTTCTCCTCTCTATCACTGATCAGCGCCGTCGACGAGTATATGTGCCAATCATTGCGCCAGGGCGTAAGAATGGTGCACGAGATTGGACCTCTCGCCCCCTGCCGAGACGTCTTGCCCTCGCCGACCATCTTGGTAGTAATAGCTGCCCAAGCGTGATGCAGTTGACTCAGCGAAATCCTTTGTTCCCACACCCACGCCGCAGACCTGCGTGCAAGACCGCACGCTGCCATATAGACTGGGTCAAACTTCTTAGACCTCTGCGTCGCCAGGCACAGCGCCAGGCTAGACGATCCTGCTCTCGACCCGACCAGTCAGTCTGCCAGCCTTTGCGCGGAGTTGGCCGAGGTGTCGCTCCGATAGTCAAGCCACTCCCGCAGCGTGCCCAGCGCTTGGGAGTAGCCCCGCCTTCCACAAGCACGTGGCCTCACTGCCAACAGCACTCTGGATCATGTGAAGACGCCGCCTCCTCGCCACAATGCTAGAAATTCGCTGCGTGGTGAGCCTCCTCGACTTGCGCCTGCCACATATCGTGACCCAGATTGCGGATCCAGCTTCGGCCAGTCAAGCCTTTGGCACCGCCGTATTTCCTGCACGCAGACGCCACCTTCCGACACGATGGAATAGAGCCAGACTTCTCCACTTGAATGATGATGCCCAGTTCCTTCGCGCCTCCTCGAAACCTGGCGACTGCAGCCCAGAAAGTCCGTAGTTGACCCGTCGACTCGCCAACCCGTTGGAGACTGATGTCATCCACCAGCGCGGGCAATCGACGGCGACCTGACAGCATCCAAGAGCCCGTGTAAAGTAACTGAGACCAAAAAACGCGCGTGAGAGCATCCCGTCGATGTACCTTGGAAGGCGGCGACACTCTTGCTGATGGACCCGAATGCTCGCGCCGTCACGGCTGGCGGTGCAGCTTAGACAACGTCCGCGCCAGCCCCAGGTCCACGTCCAGCGCCCTGGCCTTGGGCAACGCTTGTGGCTGAATGTATTCAAAAAACTTGAAAGCATC